TGCAATGTTTTTCTTTTCTTCTCCTTTTTTTGTTTGCTTTCTATTTAAATGTAACGGAGTGCTGGGTGTCCATAAATAATTTCCCTCAGAGGACAATAAAATCTTATCTTATCAGCCGATGAAGCCCAGAGTTCCTGAATCCTGGAACGGGGGGTTGATTGGTGCCCTGCCCAGTGTCAGACCCCACCTTGCACCCCCTGCCTGGCAGGTTAGACTCCGGCTCACAGCACCCCTCTGAGGGTGAAGCGGTCACCGAGAAGGGAGGGGTGCAAGGCTACAGGAGTTTACGATACCTAAAACATACCCTGTCCAAGCATGCTGCCACGAGTGTAAATGGAACAGGCCAGACTGACCCAGATCCACACCCAGACCCAGACTTGGACTGAGGCTGAGACGATCCGATCAGTCCGCTGGAGTGAAGCTGATCATCGGGGTGCCCGAGTGTTTCGGAGAGGACAGGGGTGGACCCACCTTGAGGTCGGGGAACTGGCTCATGTAGGTCTCCATAGTGCGGACAGTCTGGTCCGCCAGCTTTTCTTCATAGTCATTCCACAGCAGGTCCTCGCTCTGCACAGATCAGGGGGGCGTTTAATCCGGCTTCAACCCAATCAAGATGTCATCAAAACCATTACACATCCAACTCTCCCACCCCCTTCCCGCTTTGCAATGCGCACAGCGAGGTTAGCGTGGACAGCCAGCTCATCTCGGGATACTATTTCATTCCCGAAGGACAGGCGCCCTGCAGTTCTGCCGTCATGCGCAGGAAGTATTTCTCCACATGACCCCGGAGCGTCTCACCTCCATGATGACGGTCAGCTCCTCTCCTCCCTGCCAGTCGGGCTCGTACACGTCTTTGAGGGTCTGGGACAGTCTTTTGGACGTCTCGTGCATCACTGCGGACACAACAAGGACGGCAGTGTCACGATTGTTACTCCTCCTCTTAAGGGGGCTCCAGCCCTCCCTCGTTCTGTCCCATTCCCCACACCTGTTTCTTATTCCAGACCCTCTTTAGTTCCACCTTTAAAGCCAGACGCAGGCGACTGCTCGAGGCTTCTCATTGATTTCCGCATCGTGAGAGCCCGGGGTCCTGCTGCGTCTGGCTCCGTCATGGTTTTAGTTTCCTGTTCCTGATTCCCTGCCCCGCCGGTCCCGACCCGGTTCTGGTTTTAACTTCGGATGGATTCCAGGGTCTTGGACTAAACCTCCCGTCTTGGATTCCCCCTCTGGATTTACCCTTGGATTGTTCGCCCTGGATTCACTCCCCCCGGACACCAGCACTGCACGGACACGCCCCCCTGTCTCCTGACCAACTCCTGCATGATATTTTTCCCTATTGTTTCTTCACCTTTCGGATCGTGTCGTCCGCATAGGGCCCGGAAAGAACTGTTCCTGACAGGCAGGCTCCTTCAAAATGTGCCGCTAAAACACTGCACGTTCCACACAGACAGAGCACGCTGAGAGTGAACAGTGCGACTCCTTTATTACTGGACTTACGGCCTCTTCACTCTGCAATAGCAGCCCTTGGAAAGATCCGGGCAAGTGACACAGGACTCCAAAGACAGGCCAATCAAGTCAGCACCTGTGCTCTCATTAACACGAGTGCCTTGACTGTCATTTACTAATGTCTTACTCCACAGCATGACATTTCTGGTACTTACTAGTATTGAGCTAGTAGTGTGTACTAACATCAGAGTCATAAACACCACATTTCAGCTCCATGCAATACTTGATCCAAGCATTCAAGTTCCTCAAAGGCCCTGACAAAGTGAACCCAGCAGACTTCTTCAGAGCGAACAGTGAAAAGTGTTCAGTAGGCACAAGTGGAAACTATTTAAAACTGAGAACAGGAAGTTTGGATTAAGAAAGTATGGATTAAGCTATCCAGTCATGTGGTGTTGTCAAAACTGGTTTCTTTCATGAAATGGCTGGAGGAGATCCGTGGATCGGCTAGCTACCGAGTATGAAAGGAGTTAGAAAAGGCTGAATGGCTGCTCTTGCCTGCATTTTTGTTCTTATGTTTAAGGTAAGAGGTGTCCCTTTTCAGCACAGTGGCTTGAAAGAGGATCCCCGGACTAAGTGCTGTAGCTTGGTGCACCTGGTGCACACTTCAGAGCAGCCTGTGTAAAACTGACATGGCTGCATTCATGTGGTCACGGTCAGCAGCACTACGGTGTATCCCAGTATACTGTGTATATGTATATAGAAATATTCCAGTAATAACTCAATTTACAGTTAAAGGTATCTGCACATATAGTTCCAGTTCCTGTGCCAGCAATGACGTTGTGGTCCCTATCAAGCTGATTCATCTAAAAGAAGTGTTTTATACTCAGTGTAATTTCCTGTTTTTTTTCTGCTTAGCTGCAAGTACAGTGATTTTAAAAGTGAATCTCCACTGTTGGAGCTTTTCTTCAGCATCTTTCTGGAAGAATCCTTAGCACTGCTAAAACTCAGGATTCTGGGAAATCTTCCCAAAAGGGCGGATTAGCCTCCAGTGGGTCAGAAAAGCCCACGGAAAGTGGGGCGAAATAGTGTTCCCCTCGCAATCTCCTGACACACACAAACCCCCAGAAGAGTTTTCTAAAAGCTGTTCTGAATTTTTTGTAACCTGAGCCAGTTTCACAAGGGGATAAAAAGACGGCTCTCGGAAACAGCCCTGAGAGGGCGCAGATCAGCCTTCTGCACGATCGCCTGCATCAGCCCCCACACTGCGCACCGGTCAGTCCCCTCGAGGAGCGGGTGTGTTTGTGCTTGCTCTGTTTTAGGCTTCGATTTCGATAAACATTCACTCTATATAAAAGGTAAAAGTTCATTCCATGCTGAAAGGGAAAAAAAAAGACACACCTTCTTCAAAGCTCCACAAATGTTGTGTATCTTTTCTTTTCAGTGCGGAATAAATCTTTACCTGTTCCTTTCCAGCCTATGCATGCTGACACTGCTCCCGACTTGAAATTCTCTGTATATAAAGTGCTGCTTGTTCCTATATTGGACCTGTGAAGCCTCAAGGGTAGCCAGTCATACTGTCAGGTTCAATGGCCTGGTCACACCTACTGCTCACACTCATCTACTGCTCACACTCATCTATTGCTCAATCCCATCAGCTGCTCACTCTCATCTACTGTTCACACATTCATCTACTGCTCTCACACTCAAGTACTGCTCACACACGCCTACTGTTCACACATTCATCTAATCCTCATATATTCATCTAATGCTCACACACTCATCTTCTGCTCACACACTCACCTACTGCTCACACTCATCTACTGCTCACACACTCCGGCCTGGTGCGGAGGGTTGCATCATCCAGATTCCCTTTCCTACACGAGCCCCAAAAAACAGAACGCTAAAGTGAAAATGAACATTGCAAAGACACCTTTTTTAACAGAACAAAAAAGAATCACCTTTCACTGCATTGAAGTACGCCTTCACATCTTTGTACAGCTTGCTGCCGTCGCTCTGCAAGGAGAAGGAGAAGCGGCGTTACTTCATGCGAACAGCTGGAGCATGGCCACACAGAACAGCTGGATAGCTTCTCTGTGCGGAAGACGGAGGAAGGGCGTGCAAGTGTGCTCTGTCCACCAGTGGAACATCGGCTCTCTTACACTTCGAAGATATGGCAAGTGTTCCATGTCCAATTCACAGAGTCGAATTCAGAGTGTGCAGAGATGGAAGGGAGACAAGAGGATGTCTCTTGTGGGTTTGGATTCT